AAATGCAGCAACTATTTTGCTTATAAATTTCAAGAACATGCCTCCGCGTTGTCGTTGCATTCTCGCCATAACTTGCATGACTCCGTGCTGGTAGATGCATTCGTATCTACCTGTAATGTGCCGTTAAATTGCTTATGCCACAGAACTTCTAACGTTGTTGGCATTTGTTGTCGTTTGCGGTGGCTGCTGCTAGTCAACCAAATAACAGGCCAGACGCCAAAGACTGCATTGCCAGCAGCGGTACGCGCATTACTGAAGTCGGAACGAAGTTGGACTTCCTAACCCCAAATTGTTTATACCATTTTGGCTGCTTAGCCAGATTGTTGACTGCATATTTTAACGGCGGTATAAACAGTTGCAGCGAAATTATTTAGATACATATCTTAACTGTCGGTCGTGTTTCTTTTTTTTGTTCTTTTTTTGTACACTAGATTTTCTTTTGTACTTATACATAACATACTTATACAGATATTATATATACTATAGTCTATCTATTTTAATGTATTTAGATATGTATTGTATTTTTATTGTTATTGTTTAGTGCCGCATTCTTTGCACTATGGCAACTACTTTTTTGTGTTTTGTTATTAAAGTTAATAGTTTGGGAATAGGAATGTCGACTATATGTTACACCAAACAAACAAAAAAAAAAAATAAAAAATCAATTTGGGGCCAGAATTGAAGTTCATGTATGCAGCGCTATTTTGTAGTAAATAGTTACACTTCGTTTTGTAGAATCTAGATAAGAATGCCGTAAATTATTTTTTCAAATTAACATCACTAAGACTACCGACTTTTTAATTATCTTCAATACACAAGCCATGAAATTTTCATAATTAGTTTCTTATTACACTCACTCGTAAATTTATGATTACTTATTGAGAACAGTTTTACACCTGCTTACATATAATTATTTATATCACGTTTGTAATACATTAAGATTTATTAAACCTCTTCAGCATATTTTTATAGAGATTTATTATTTTAAGTTAGGAACGACACATATTGTCACCATATTTTTGACACCATTTTTAACAAATTAACTACAAAAATATATACTAAAACTAGGACGTGTGCGAGTTAGCTTAAGTTGATGCTAAAGCAAATTTGAGATTTCTTGGGATTTTTTGCACTGCCATTTATCAACACATATCGACATATCACTACATTATCGGCACAACTTAGAATTTCCCTCATTTTTATAAACGATACTTACCTAACTCGAACGCGTCACTAAAAGTTTGCAGCAAGTTTAGTGTTTTAAGCACGTGTGCGAGTTAGGCTAAGTTGATGCTAAACCAAATGGGAGATTTTTGGGGATTTTTGCACTGCACACATTTTGCCATTTATCAACACGTATCGACACATCACTACATTATCGGCACAACTTAGAATTTCCTCATTTAGAACGCAACTTAGCCTAACTCGCACACGACCTTAATTGTAATTTTAGCTGTCAAAAATTTTAAACTGACATTTGCAAACAGAAAGCAAGCATAACCATTCTCATGACGTATTATTGTAAAATGTTTGTCAGATTAATTATATATTTTTAACACTTATTAACTACTTTTAAAAAATCTTTACTTTGCAATTATGTCCACAGTTTTTAGTTACTTTAGCTAAAAACTTATAAATGAGCTCATTATGAATATTTCATCTCATTTAATGCGAAAAATGTCGAATACAACCCTTAAAAATAAATTTCCCACAGGGGAAATTAACAAAATTTGAAATATATGTCAAATGTTTTATATGTAAAATGTAAATAAATAATAGCTGGAAGTAAGCGTTTAATAAAATCTTTATTTTTATTAATTGTATATAAAATTGTTATATAAAATGTATATCAATGGTTTAATATATCAATTACATATTTAATATTTTTGTGTGATATAAGTGAAGTATATAAAAGTTTTAAATGAGCTCATAGTGAGTGTGAACGTTTACTTCTTAATATAATTAGAGCTAGTGACAAAATGAGAGTTTGTGAATCCATCATTAGCTGTCGAAATTTCCATACAAATCTATTTGATTTAGGCTTATTTTGCTATCGAAATCAAGAATAATTTGAAATGACTGCTAAAATTACAATTAAAATTGAATTAATGGTTAAGTGTGAATCCAGTAAAAAGGTATGAATTAATGGTTAAGTGTGAATCCGGTAAAAAGGTATATTTATAGAGTATTGTTCTTACCTCGACATATATGCAGCAATATGTGCCATTCTTCATACAAACTTCATACAAAATCTAATGAAGGGAATTGATACGTGTAAATGTAGTATATATTTATACTACGTTTATATTTGTTCAAGAAGTTGTTTAGTAAATCTCATAGATATCATTTTAAATATTATTAAATATTTGGAAATTTCTAATACTCATTTTTTGATAAAAGCTTCGTAGAATAGACACAAATCAATGATAGTTTTATTAAAAAACTATATGAACTTTGCTTTGATAAATTTTTAAGCTTATGGTTATTATGATGATATGGGATAATCTTCTTAGTTCACCTTTGTTAGGAACTTCTTAATCCGACAGGTGCTACATGCGATACTTGATCGTCGACGATGATTGGTTTCAAGACGATACCGTTTTAAAGCTTGTGGAACCAACTATCAGTTTTATCTAGCCTGATATGATATTGCTTCATTCTAATAAGTGTTCTCAAATTTTTTTAACAACAATTCTCTTAAACAACCTAAAAACATTATATTCAAAGTGATCTCAAAAGACCAAACTCTAAATTGAACATATACATAGTTAATAAATAAAAAGTGAAAATAAGTCCTAAAATAATGTTTTAGTATTCCTTTAATAGCAAAAATTATTTTAGTCTGTTTCAAAAATCTGATAAATTAAATCTAAAGCATTATTAAATTTATAATTAATATAAAAGTGTGTGTCATATTACTCCATAAATTACTTTCTCGCCACAATAGTTAGAGACTTAAGATTTGATTTATTAAAACTTAAAAGATTAAAATAAAATTTATGAACGCACTTAACTTAAGTAAAAGTGGTATGAGAAATTCAGTCGTAAATCAGATGTATAGGAGTATACTCAAGATATGATGAAAACAATTATTAGAAACCGTATATTAGATAAATTCAAATGTAGATACTTTTATGAGTAATGGTCAATGGTATATGTACCCAGTTTCCCATGAAATGCTGTACTCGTAATATCTTTAATATATGATGAAAATAATATGTGCGGCATTTGAGTAAATTAAATAAAAAATATCGTAAAAACAAATAAAAAAAGAAATATATCGTAGATTATAAGTTATCTTTATCTGTAAGTCAATGCAATATCATCTAATAAAACAAACAGAACTATTAAAATAATCTTAGTAAAAAGTTCTTTATTCATAACATGAGATCAAGGTCTTAGAATATAATTAAAATATGAGCATCTGTTCTCTACTTTCAACTTTCTCAATAAATTTTTATATTAAACTTACTTTACAAAAATTTATTCCTTCATCCGATCTGAGATGCTCAAATAGGTAGCTCTTTCATTTACCAACTACCAGCTACCAGCTCATTTTTTAAGGTATTATTCTCTTTATAATGTAATGGTTCAATCTACAGTGCCCTGTCAAAACTTCTGCAATGATTCTTTAAGTATTTTTACTTAGGTCGTGTGCGAGTTAGGCTAAGTTGCGTTCTAAATGAGGGACATTCTAAGTTGTGCCGATAATGTGGTGATGTGTCGATACGTATTAATAAATGGCTAAATGTGTGCAGTGCAAAAAATCCCAAAAATCTCCCATTTGGTTTAGCATCAACTTAGCCTAACTCGCACACGTCCTAAATCGTCTTTTTATTCATCGATTTACAGTATAAGTTATAATTTGATTTGTACTATTCATAAACCTTGCAATACTACTTTATTTGGAGCAGTCTTGACAACTTTTAAAAGTTTTAATTGATTGAAGACAGTACTTGTATTATATATTGCTTTGTTAGTCATGTGGCACCAAATTATTTTTCTTATTTGGTTATAAGCATTAAGCAAATCAAAATTTATGTACATATCGTTTACAATAAACACTGACACAAGTTAGAGCTTACTGACAGTACAAAGAATCGGTTTTAAGTTCAGAAAGGCAGAAGAGTGTCTAATTACCAATTGTTTAAAAATATTAAGTACAATTTATAGGAAGAGCAGGTTTATTTAGCAACACTAACTTACTTAATACATACTAAATTTTTAAATAATAAATAGCAATACTGCAATAATTATAATTCTAAAAATCAATAATCAGTTGTTGCAGGTACAAGAATTGTAGCAAAAGTAAATGAGCAACGTTTGTTTGTTAGCCAAATGTTGTTGTTTAACTGGAGTTCATCATCCACATGTTAAATGTAATATTATTAAGTTGTAAAATTAATTACGACCCTATATAGCTTAGAATTTTACAAAATATGAACTATTAATTCATATTAAGATTGGTATTTAGGTTTAGTGATGCAACATTTTGAGTAACTTTGGGTTACACTTCATCCGAATTTCGTATATAATAAATTCAAAAGCATGGATACGCGTATCACTACTAAGTGGATCAATTTTATTTAAATATGTAAGAGTGGATTTAAAAAGTAAGTACAGTGTTGAAATTGCATTGTATATAAGCAAGATACAATTCAATTTAAATCCAGGAGTCGAGCCTTTTCTAAGTCTATCAGTTCCAGTCCAGTACAGTAACAGGCTTTTACAATATTTAATTTAGGCTTGTATATACACAAATAAGCAATACTTACAATATTGTGTTTGAATGAAAAACGCTTCTGATTATTAATTAAATTAATTCTTTTAAAAAGAATTAAAAAATCTCGTTAGTTTTTAAATACGCCTTACTTATATATTTTAACGGGGGTACCTAATACAGGCATTAGAAATATGTTAATTATAAAATACGTTTACCAACACTTTATGTACAAACGTCAGCTGAAGTAATTATTTTATAACAGCTGTTATTGTTTATTGTGATATAAAACCGCATTAGGAGTTGAACGTTTGCAGGTATATATGTATATATATAATATTAAATAAATTATTAAATAACTAATATATTTAAAGAATGAATGTCTTACAACGGGGATTTCTGCAGAATTGTAGATTTAGCACAGTGAAAAATTTATATAAAATACCTGCAGCTTACACGTGCTACGGAACGGAATTACAGCATAAAAAATTAATGAATACTCATAGAATGAATACTACATTCAAAAGTCGATGGGAAACTATATATCAATTACCCATTATTAGGGCAGCTTCGGTAGTAAGTCAGATTAAAACTTATCAGGGTATTGCTACAGCAATTTCAGTGCCAATTAGCTACGCGTTTGAGCAAGCTGTGCTCTTTCCAACTAATACCTGCTTAGTAGTCACAATCATAGGAGCATCTGGTCTCATCACATTGACGCTATTTAGCTTGGTAATACGCAATTTAATTGGTTTTATTTATATCAACAGCGAGGAACAGAAGATAAAATTTGCTTATCTTGATTTTTGGGGAAAACGGAAGGAAAGAATTGCGGATGTTTCAGCCATAGAAGTTAATAACGAAGAGAAAAGGTCATTTATTAATAATTTTTATCAAATTATAAAGTTTCGCAATAAGAAAAATATAAGTTTAAAGCTTTCAAATAAATTTGGTGTGATCTTGGATCCAGACAGGTACGCGGAACATTTCGGTGAATAGATATATCACTAAATATGAAAAGTTTATTGAAAGTAAACTACGGTTTTGCTAATTTTAATTCTTTTATTGAAATAAAATTCATCATAAATTAATTAATTGAAAATACATTACACAACCAGGTCTAAGTGGATTCCATGGATCATCATAAAAGTTGCGAGCATGCAGATCACATTAGACGAGTAATTTTTAATTTTAAAGTTGTAATTTTTTTATTTAGTGTTAAAGCTAACATATTTTATGTTAAATAAGTATAAAAATTGTATATTATATAAAAATATCATGTTTTTGTAATTGTAAATATATAAATTGAAAAGCTATATTGTATATAGGTTTTCTTTAAATACTTAAATAAAAAGTAGCTTTGTACTCCATTATCCAAAATCTATATATTAATCTATTATTAATTTTATCCAGTATCACTTTGAATACCAACAGGCTCATCGTTCGAGTTACTTGTACTATTATTTCTAATTGCTTCTGGCTCAGTTTCTGTGGTCTTTTTTTTATTTTTACCCAATAGTTTTGCATCTAATACCTAAAAAAAAGTTAATGATTAAAGTAAATATTTAATATAATATTTGTTAATATATTACTTTATAATATTTATAGAATATTTATTACTTTTTAATATATTTTATACGAATATTTTTTTTTTAGTGTAATAGGGTTATTTCATTTAAAATATACGTAGGATGATATTCAATTTGTTGTTAATATAGTCCGTGGAACTTGTTTATTGTTATGGATGAGCTTTTAATGACACAATTGTCTTTAATACAATACTATTTGTTTGACATCAATGTTTTCTGGTTAATCTTAAAATTTAATTAATTTCCTAAAAATTTTCAGAGTGTTATGTCGTTGTACAGCAATTATAAATATATAATTTACAATGCTAATTCTTTAATCTTGATAGCCTCTTCGTAACTGCTAACTCTATTGCAACATTGCAAATTTTGATACATATTCTTCTATTCCTGTTTCCCATGTCAACATTAACAAATCAACGCTATTGTAAGTTTAGTAATATCTAAGGGCTCAAAACACTATACATCATTTAGCATGTACAGTCTATCTATCATAATTCTGTGAGATTTTCAAAGTATTTAAGAGACTTTGAAAGTCTCTAACCACTGTTATTTATAATCTCATTTAGTTTTTTGGAATAGTTAAACTAAATTGTGCACTGACTACATGAGTGAATGAAATGAAGATGTTTAAATCGTAAAAATAATGTTTTTAAATTTAATTTCGTAGAAACAAATATATTTGCAAGTAAGTTTATTTCATAAAGAAGGCATTTTTCGATGATTATAAGAACTTAAGCAACTAGTTAAATAATAATTATCGCGAAATCAAAGCGAAACCAGATATATGTTCTTTAAAACATTTTCTAAGAAGCAAATGAAGCTCATTATATATATATAAATATATACAGACATAAAAATCTATATAAAACAATGACTACAATGGCAGATTTTTGAAGAAACAGAATTTTTTTATGGTGTAATAACCACCATATGGTTTTAAATGGATGTAAGTACTAGTATTTTCAGATATAAAATTTTGTTTCTAGTGTAAAACATACTTTTTTAATGTTCCAAAGTAACTAGATTTAAAAATAAATAAAGTTTTATATAAAAGTGTACATATATACATATGTCTACATTGTTAATTTTGAGAATATAAATTTAGATATTTAATTTGAAGGGACTCCTAAATTGTGTCATAAAAATGAGATATCATAAATTGTTATTATAATCTTTTTAACCCAAATCTTGCAGAAAAGATTTTACAGTGTATGTGATAAGATAAAATTTTAATCTATACGTTAAAAGAAAGGTCAATCTATAAATTTTGTGAGTAAAAACAGTAGAGATTTTTTTGAGATAAAAGTAATATTATTTTAAATATTAACTAATCTAATACTAATATAATAATAATATATACTTACTGTATCAGGTAATTTTTTACGAAATGTTTCTGGTAATAACAAGGCCAATATGCCAGCGGAAAATGAAGCTGCGCCAAAGAGAAGTAATGGCAGAGGTTCAAAATAAACTCCCTAAATATATTTAAAAGTACGGTTAATATATTTATTATATATTAAACAATATTTTTACCAAGAGCGGCACAAAAGGTGCAAGCATAGCACCAAATCGAGCAAAAGTAGACATAACACCAACACCACCACTACGTATTACCTTAAAATATCGAGAAATTGTAATGGATCGTTTATATGTAGTACCATTTATACAAACTACTTACAGTTGGCATCATTTCTGCTGTATAAGTATATATTACAGCAAATGATGATGTAATGCCCAATTTACCAATTAAAAATAGCGTAATAATAGCCCATGTAGTACCTAGTTTAAGAAATCTATTAAAATATATTCAATACATATAATATTTATTTAGAAAAATAAAATTTACGTGATTCCAAATTTAGTTGTACTATTTTATAAGAAAATATAGAGATTTTTAGAAGAAAGCATTTAAGAAAAAATTATTAACAAAAATTGTTAATAAATTATTACCTTTGGTTATATAGCCACCTGCCACACATGTTACAGCACAAAGAAACAACGAACCGGTAAGAGATAAACGACGTCCAAACCGACGTAATGAAATCTAAATTGATAATATTATAATAATGTGATAGGCATATCAAATCTAATCTATATATTTATACAGATTATTTACCCAGGCTAAGGAGTAACCAGGTATCTCAACTAAGCAAACCAGTGCAAAATTAATATACTTGTTTCCGCTTAAGTTAGTGGAATTTAATGACAGTCCGTAGAAGACGACTGCGTTGATAGCCCTGTAATAATATCACATTTTCAATTCATTAAATAAAAATGATTTTATTTAATATTTATAATATATGTTTTAATTATTATAATTATAATATTGTAATTATATATAATATATTACAATATTTAATTATATATTTTAAAATACAGATATTGAGAAAATTATGTTTTCTGTAACTACACTTTTATATGCTAAACATAAGATAAGGTTAATTCGTTACGAGCTAAATGGTTTTCTAGATCAGTAAATTTTCTATGATATGATATAATATTTACTTAATAAAGCTTACCATATATATAACATAATTGTATAACGTATCAGTAAAGTTTTTGACTTAAACACTTGCTTTACTGCTGACCAGATTTCATTCTTATCCGCTTTTGATTTGGATTTGGTTCCATTACAATTTTCAACCTTAAAGTTGGCCAATAGTCCCGCTGATAATTCCTTTTTATTTATCGCTGCTGCTCTTTGTATAATTAGCCCAGCCTTTTCTTTCTCGTTGCGTGCAAGTAACCAACGTACCGATTCCGGTACTATCCAGTAATATACTATAAAGAATAAAGGCGGTACGGAAAGTGCAAATTGTAACAATTGCCAATCGTGAAGTAACCATGCAGTCAATCCAACCATAGCTTCACCAATAGCGTAGAAATAGTTTAAAACTATTGACGACATTTCACGCATACGAGGACCAACCATTTCCACGCCAATTATAAATGCAAGTGGATATACACCGGATGTTCCGACTGCATTAAGGAAAGCAAATAATAAGAAACTGTTATAGTCCCAAGCAAGTCCTTGGGCTATGCCCGTTATAGCCATAAAAATAATACAAATAATGAAAACTATTTTGCGTCCAAAACTATTAAAAAATATTGTTATGAAAAATTAGCAAAAATGAAAAATTTTTTTTAATAAAGTAAATATACCGATCAGCAAAGTAACCAGACAATGCTGTACCCAACACAAGACCAGCAAAGTGCATTGTGCCTACAAAAGCTAATTTCCAGATATTCTCTTTACACGTAAGTTGCCACTAAAAATATATATAATATATACATTATGTATTAAATCTTATCGCTTAAGATGATGTCCAGAACTATCTTATATATTATTTAAATATGCACAAAAACTTCAGAATTGAACCAAAATGGAAGTGATATAGACAGAATGTCGCCAAGGTCGATCATGGAAAAATAAAATTTATAACGGACTGCGAAATATACTGATGTAAATTAAGACACATATCAATAGTCAAGTAATTCAAGTACTAAGCTCGTGAAAACTTCAAGTTAGTAATGAACTATCTACAGAAACTGAAACAGTAAACCATGAATAAGGAGTCATCTTCTATTAGGTTTCAGGCTTACGGGGTTTCATGTGATGAAGTAATGAAGTCACAAAAAAGAAGGATTTGACACTATTTTGTATCTTGTATAGGCAAGAGAGAATGGGAGAGAGTGCTAAAATACTATTATGGCAATAATTGGACTTGAAACCATATTACAGCTTGGGCAAGAGAGTATGGTAGAGAGTGCTAAAGTACTACTATGGCAATAATTTGGCAATTATTTGACTTAAAACCATATTACAGCTTAGGTAAGAGAGTATGGGAGAGGGTGCTAAAGTACTAATAAAGATAAAAGAAATAAGTTAAGTTTATAGGTTTAAGACTATTTAAATTATTATTACTTAATTATAATGGCAAAACATTTAATTTCTGTATCTGTGTTTATCAAAGAACAGATAGATAATGTTGACCGCCTAAGCTCAATGTACGTTTCGCATAAAATCCCATGGGCAGGGTCTACAATAAATAAACTGTGTCATCGGTGCAAGTACTAGGGAAATGTGATGCACTGATGCAAATGAATGTCAGGTAGAGAATAAGCAAAGAA